CTCCACAAACAGAACATACAAACCACCCAGCAGGCTATCAAGGAGCAGGCTTTAGTTTAACAAATCTAAAACAATCCTAACAGAATGGTTCTGACTGTTCTTAATTAAAATAGCTCATTTCCCTACTTCATGCTTATCATTTCACCTTATTTACCAGTATACAATGTTGGGCAAGAGATCAATTGGTAAAAACTGTCTGTGAATTAAATAAGCATGAGAAATAAAAGATGATTTCTAACAAAAAGAACAGCAATAGCAGGATCAAGAGGCCTAAATACTTTTTAAATAGTGCTTGATAAGTTTATGAAAGGGATTATATGACATGGTTGTCTGTGATGGCAGGTGCTGCGTCCAGGCGGTTCATCATAGGAACAAAGGAAACAGGATTAGGAAGAAATTATTGCAATAATCTTATCTGCACTTCTCAGACATGTGTCCTATGGTTAGGAGGTATGGAGCAATGAAGCAGTCTGCTCAGTCTAGCGGCAAGAAGAAATCAGCTGTAGTCAGCTTCATTCCCTTTGTTATTATCCCTAGCTCTGCTGATTTGATTTGATGATTTGTTTGGATTTTGTCTGCCTTTAAGGACAAGGTTGACAGTTATTTGGAAGGTATTTAAGAAAAAATATCAATAGATTAGCAAAGACAGAGAACTGAGGGGTCAATATAACTGGAGCAGAAATAGTAAGGTGCTGATGAAGTTTGCCTGCAGGTAGAAAAAAAGACAAAGCTTAAAAAAAATTGAAATCCAAGAACAGTAACTCTTTGGAGGTCTCACATACCCATAGGTTCCAAATTTAATTTTTTGTGACTTGGAGGAGGAATAATCTCTGTTGTCCCATGCTGTCAAAATTTTATGTTTGAGTACTGCTACTGTTGATGTATCCCCTTTGCTCTAGTGTTTAAAAGATGCTTCTGGGCTGCAATACCAATCAGCAGTATTCTTTGAAATGTCAATAGCTGGCATATTAGCACTTCAAATCTATATCCCTTATAAATGGGGAGCACTTGACATTCATTCTGTACCACACAGCAATACTTAGATGGTGATACTATATAAAAGGGTGAAGAGAGAACAAGTATAAACTTTGAATTTTAGAAAGTGCAGAAGGACTTCAGGAGTCGATAGTTTCCAAAACTAAAGAGAAAATAGTGTCAGGACAAAGTTCTGGACCCAATGAAATCTGGAGCTTTGCTACTGAATTCAAAGGGATCCAGATTTAATAATTAACATGTATACTTAAGAAAGTGCTTGTTCTAGAGTATGTACTTCAGGAATATGAATTTTCCCGCAGCTGTGGTCTTTAAAGTAGGAATAAGTCACAAAATGTAAGGATAATATTTTTTCGTATTTAGACTGTAAATTCTTTGGATTAAAGATCTGTTACTGTGTTTGTACTCTGAAACAACAGGTTCCATCTTTTATTAGTTGCTTTAAGTGTTATTGTGTTATTGCCTCCGAACATTAATGATAACAGTAATTAAAGAATTGTTCCCTATAGTTAGTATTATATGGATACTGGTCAAGGCAATGTGGGTCCAACCTAGTAATAATACTGCTAGTAATATAATAAAGCACAATTTCTTGCCTCAAAGCAAGTACATTGCTTAAAACAATGGAACATTCCCCTGCATCTGTCAATCACAGTAATGAATCTCCCTTTGTTATTAGTTAGTATCTAACATCCATTAGTTAGTGTCTAACATCCATTTCACATCTTCTAACTATATCAAAGTCACTCCATGAGATAACACTCTTAAAGAAAACCCCATCAAAATACCAATAAACCGTGGAATGAAAAAAAAAAACCCACAAGAAAACCACCTCACAGTTCTTATAACAATAAATTTCCTCAGTAGTGTGATTGTGCAAGGAATTTTGCAAATACAACACACTTGCTACTGCTACCATCACTGGATAAATCAGGGTATGTCCACATCACAGTTCAAAGGTTTAATCTATATAAAAAGAGTTAAACTGCATTTATGCTAGCTAGATTACGTATGGATTAGTTTGCCCGTGTCAGTACCCTGATAGCACTGGAAGCAGTTCTGTCAGGCTTGGTAGATCTAGTTCAGCAAGAAGCATCTCAAGTAAGATATGCTTCCAAATAGTGCTGTTACTCTCAGGAGCTGTGTCCTCTGTGCTTATGTCATGAAGTGACTATGTCTTCTGTCACTCAGGCTCAGGTATGCAGAAAGACAGAGACATTGCTTAATGGTTTCATGCTCCCATCCCAAACTCCAGTATCCCTGGCTTTGTGCAGTGTGGCTGCATGCACTTGGTATCACTGTAGTTTAGCTACACGATTTTTAGTCAGTTGCTTCAATGACTTTGTGGTCCATCCCGAGCTAATATACAGGGATGTTTTCACTGGTATCCAAGCTACCTAAAGGCAATTTTCACAATGTCTTCATAAACTAGAGGCCAGACTGTAGGAAGTTAAAAAACAATTATTAGATTATCTCAGTACAGTGGTCTTACACGACCATTTAAAACCAATGGTCTTAAAACAGTCTCACTGCTTAAATTGACCTTTCACGTCAACTCTTATCTTACTCTTATTTCTTCAGTAGTTTTTATTATCAGTTTTGATTTGCCTATCTTACATATTTTCACCTATTTGACATCCTTAGCAAGATATCTAAATGAACTGCATTTTAATGAACCATGCTGGAAAATCCATTTGTCATCACTTCTGCCGTTTTTGCTCACATCTATTATCAGCTAATATAATTAAAAAGACTAGCCCAAGAATGAAGTGCTGCTTAATGTAATGGTTACCCTGATGGTCCCTAAGGAATGAAGCTGAAACTAACACAGTGATTCCACAACATGACCATCACTAGAGTTCAGGGAACCTGCCTCCCTGATTCAAACAAATAGACTTGGCTGTCTAGACTGTAGGAGAAGTTAAAATGGGTGGATTCATCAATGATTTCATTGGTGCACTGATGAAAACAAAGAAGGATGTGGATCTGTTACAAGATGGTCCAGAGGAGGGCCATGAAGATGAGCAGAGGGTGAAGATGAGAGCACCTCTCCCATGAAGATAAACTGAGAGCCTGGAGGAGACTCCGAGGAGACCTTATAGCAGCCTTCCAGAATCTGAAAGGAGCCTACAAGAAAACTGGAGAGGGACTTTTTACACAGGCATGTAGTGATAGGATAAGGGGTAATGGTTTCAAACTGGAAGAGGGCAGATTTAGATTAGGTACCAGGAAGAAGTTTTTCACTCTGAGAGTGGTGAGGTTGCCCAGGGAAGTCGTGGATACCCCATCCCTGGAAGCATTCAAGGCCAGGCTGAACAAGACAATCTTTAAAGTCCCTTCCAACCTAAACTGTTCTATGATTCTATGACTTTTTATTAACGGATTTGGGTGAAGGCATAATTGTTAAGACATCACAATCAATTAATAGACCACCCTCATGATTATAACTGACTTGATTATAATTCCTGTTCTCAGATGTTACCCTTTAATCCACAAGAAGAAAGCATTAATGTTCAAGGCCCTTAAATGTATTTTTAAGTTTCTCTAAACTCTATTCATCAGCTTGTGGATACAGGTCATACAAAACATGAAATGGAGATTGACGGAAGGACACAAGAAGCAGCAAATACAGAGAAAGATTCAGACAGTCTAAGGAAAAAACCAAAATGTTAACAGAATGAAGTAGGTAATGAAAGTAGATCAAGAGTAATTATTTATGAAATGCTGCAAGGAATATAGAAGACTCATGAAGGTAGAATTTCATGTCAGAGAGATGAAATTTTGAGGATTAACCCCTGTGACTGTTAGCAGAACTATGTGCCAATTTTCTCTCAACATGCATATGAGCTACTGTTGATCATTTCAAAGCACAAGTTCAGCTAAATGTTGCTAGTAGAAGAGAGCGCTCTTATTTTCAGAAACTGAGCATCCTTCTAATAAAACATACCTAATAATCAGACTTACTAAAAGATTGTATTTTGAAATATTAGTTTAGGGTTAATGACTCAGACAAATGAAACACACATGTTTAAAAGGGCCTCATTTACTAAATTAAGTACAAATCACATGTTCAAAATTTTGTTTTAATGGTGTGTTTTTTTTCTTTTGAGTGCCACTATTGTAAGTGTACTAGTGGACCTGGGCATAGATTGTACGTCCTCAGAAATATTGCTTCTGTTTGGCATGGTGTGTTGTTTCAAACGACCTGCAATCTTAGCTTTGCTGGAGGGCTGAAGCCAGGATCTCAAATTAACAAAACAAGCTGCCAGCATAGTTCTTTATGATAGTTCTTAACACAAGTATTGTTTCTGCCATTTTCAGCACGTTTCAAGGGGAAGGGGTGATGAGTTCTTTTTGAATTTCCTCTGTAGCATAGCATTTTTCATGGATTCCAGGTAAAGGAACTGTCTGCCACCAGTCCCAGGAGTGATATCTGACTTGGTTACTTGTTAAACTAGTTAGTGGCTAGCTAGAAATACAGACAGCGAGCATCAGAAAATCAGATTAAGGCAATTTTTCTCACAGGTAGTGGTGGTGGTGTGTTTTGGTCTACAGCTAAGCAGGCTAAGAAAATGTGCCTATGACAAGGGTTCTGTGGCTGGTTCAGTCTGGGAAGTAAAATGAGGACCCACAGACATCACAGGCACAAATGTATGGGATCTGTGTTCTGTGCTGAGATAAGCTGAAGCCAGTTCCTGTTATCAAACACATCCTAATGTTCAGAAGTTCTGCCAATTAAAGACTGTCAAGGGCACCACCTGTCTGAAATACCCAGAAACATTCATGAGTCTTGACTAAGATGAGATACATGTTTCTGCTTTTAAACCTGAATAAAAGCATTTCCACCGTGAGAAGTATTTCTCTGAACTTTCCATAAATAATTGTCCCAGGTCAACAACATATAAACGACTCATCTCCCAGTACAACAGCCCTCCTCTGCTTTTTAACTACCTCCATGGCGTACACCAAACCACCACATTAGCTACAGTCAACAATCATCCACATACCTCCTTTCGCTTTGCCAAAGAACGTCTGTTTTCATTTCGCCAGCGCTGAATCCTCCGGCCTCCCGTCCTCTGCAGACAGAGCGGGATGTCCCGCCTGCGGGCGCCCCGGTTGTGTGGGCGGGCGGTGTGGGGCGGCCCCTGCGGTGCGGGCCCGGGGCTGCCCCGTGCCGGACACAGCCGGTTCCAGCCGGCTCCAACGGCCCCACCGCAGGGCACAGCTGAGCCCCTCAGCCACGGGCGGGCGCCGCGGGGAAAGCCTGGCTCAGAAAGGGCAAAACGCTGCCCGGCAGCCAGGGCTGAGGGAAACCGGGTGAGAAACAGCCCTGCCAGCCCCGAGGGGAGAGCAGGAGGAGGGGAGGAGGGGCTCCAGGCGGCCCCGGGAGAGACCCCGCTGGGGCAGGGGTTTCCCGGCAGCCCCGGGGAAGGGCCCGGGCTGGAGCAGGGAGAAGGGTGAGGAGGCGGGAGCGGCAGAGAGGGGCTGGCCCGGACTCGACACAGAGCCCCGTCCCACATCCCCCTGCTCTCTCAGGGAGAAGAGATCGACGAGTCAGGGCTGGACGAGTGAAGGTGAACCTGTAAAAAAAGAGGTATGGGGACGAAGATGTTTTCGTTTTTGTCTTTTTTGTTTTTTTCTCACAATCCAGCTCTATTTTACTTGGCAATAGGTCAAATTAATTTTCCCCACATTGAGTCTTTTTTTTCCCATTATAGTAACTGATGAGTGTCTTTATCTTGACCCATGTGCTTTTCCATAATATTTTTCCCCTCCACCCTACTTGAGGAGGGGTGGGTGGCAGCAGGTGGGTGTCTGGCAGCCAGCCAACAAGGAGTTATTTTATCGGGCCTTGCTGCATTGTGTAAGGTGCAGGCCAATGGAAAACTTTTTTGTCTGTAAAGGTTTTGTGTTCATAAACTAGAAAAATTTGTTGGTACATTTTTCCACAGTGGTCCCCTTCTTTTCTTTCTTTTTCTCTTAGATTAGCATTGTCTAAACTGAGGTACAGCAGACACAGTTGAAAGCTTCCAGGCTTATCTTTGATCTGACACTAACATCATGGAGTTCGGTACGGTTTCTCCATGAAAAAGAGGTGGCTATAGGATACATTGCCCTTATTTTGGTGTTCTGAGTATCAGGCTGGAACATTTTCAATTAGATGTACAGCCTACCTGTATGAATGGGTATTTTATATAGAGTCAGTTGCTTAAAGTTGTTGCAATCTGGTAGCTGTGACCTTGGGAAGAGACAGCTGGGCTTGCCTTGGCCAAAGAAGATATAAATTCGAGGACCTTGCATATTTTAGCTCTCTACAAGGATGTCAGGCATCTTTCAAACCATACTTTAAAGAGATTGGAATCAGGTTTGTGAATTGGTGTCATTTTAGTTGATCTAAAGGTGAATCTGTAAGCTAAGCCAAATCAAACTTAATTGACCTTAGGTTTTGTGCTGCCTTTCCTGAGAGGCAAGTTCTGCAATCCAGCACCTAATTTGCTACAGAGCTGAAAGGAACTTTACAGTGTAGGTACTTAAGCACTCTATAAGGACAGGGTAATAAACCTTGCTGCTGGAATTAATTGAAGGTGGGCATCTGGATATGCACACATCTCCGAAGAAGGTTTCTGATTTTATCTGTCAGGAATTACCCAGCTCATCTGAGACCAGAATAACAATTTCCTCTTGGCTGGTGAATAAATACCCTATAAAATGACTAATGGTCTATTTAATTGTCCTATCGAAAAGAGCATGGTTGTGACTAATGTGCAAAATAAACCAACTTTGGAAACCTCATACAATACTTGCTATCCTTAAAGTAATGATGCATGATGATGAGATCTGTACTTGATCCTAACTACACTCTGTCATTCATGTCAAAGTTTTCTTCTCCAGAAATTAAATGCTCTTGCAAGAATTTTCAGAACTCGAATGAACTTGACTCTTTCAATACAAATCACTGATTTTGCCCTGAATCATGAAGTTATTTGTTTGAGTCTTAAATACTATCATTTCCCAATGTGTCAGCAGTGAGGGAAATACAGCTGCAGAATGACATATTTAATTCCAGCATTAGAAAGCCTAAGGTAAATAATAATTCTTTGTTTGTGTTTCAATGGTGCATAAAATTGCAGAGTTCAGATGTTTTTGGTTTCCTTTGCTTGTTCATGTATCTGTTAAAATCAGTCTCTGCTAATGGAGAAATATATAGCTTAGCTGTCAGTTCAAATCCAGCCCATTGATTGGAGACTGTTTAATGCAAAACAGTAAGCGCATTACTGGCAATATTTGTGAAAGTGCAGAATCAGGCTACAGGGCAAAAGAAACTGAAAGTTATTGCTGCCTGGTGTCTGTCTGGCATCCTAAGAGTATGTGAGTTAAGAAGCAGTTTTCAGGAACTACATTGCCAAAATTAGAACTAATTGATACTTTTATTAGCAGCTGTATTAGTAAGACTGTTCTTTTAGGTCCTAATTTAAGGAAACTTTAAAAGGTATGTTAAAATTTCATCCGAGGATATTTACAATGGAGTAAGATGTTAGTATTTGCTTAGCTACTCACTGCTTTTCTCTGTATCTGCTAAATTCAGGAGCAGGATCTGCAGTACAGGGAAGACATATGATGCTGAAATCTGTCCTCTGTGTGCTCTGTGAGCAAAAGCTCATGTGCAGGGTTTTACAGCTCTTAGGGAGCCTGAATTCAAATGAAACACTTGAAGGAGAAAGAATAAAAAAATCCGGTATCAAGAAATATGGTCAGTAAACATTAGTTATCACAATGTTCAAAAACATACAATGTCATCTACAAAAAAATTCTTCATTTCCCAGAAAAAAAACCAAACCAACCAAGCAAAAAAAAAAAAAACCCACCCAAACAACAAAGAACAAAAATCATAAATGTGATTGCGGTAAGTTTTTAGATACTGGAAAACATAAAGTGAAAACATAATTTTTAATTTAATCTTGTAGTGAGCCATTTTTTGCACACACATAAAATTGTTTGAGCTGTTTTGACTAGTTGTTATTTGCTCTAATAATCAGCAAATAGAAGAATAGACAGACATCTAATCAAATTGTTTTAGTCTCTTTTATCAGGTATGGTATTCTGAATACACTTCCCCACATACTCTTCAGGTATCAAAGTACTTTGGCAATTTGGATGCTATCCTGTCACCCCTAAGGAATGTGGTTAAAGTTCACAGCTATGGCAGCTGACAGGGCCATATCTGTTGTGTACAGTAATAGCAGATTGATAGCCCTGGCAACATTAATCTATCACTTTTCATAGGTGTGAAACTGACTGAAAATCATTTTCAAAAAGTGGCAAATAGAAAAAAGTTTTATTTTAAACAAAATTCAAACATTTGCGTGTTCGGTGTTGTTATGCGGTGCCATCAATGTCACTGTTAACTGCAGAATATCAATCACCACCCTCAGAAAGTGCCATATGCTGTAGTAGTTCCGAATATTTTGCTCATGGTTTGTGGTGTCTGAGGAAAAGACTAAATTATAGAGGAGAACAAATCATGACTTTCACGGAAGGGCTCTAGTAATCAAATTCAGTTTAGGTAATGATATATCATTTCTTGCTTTCTGGCTTGGATTCTTTAAGCTTCTGACATTGGTTCCAGCAATTTGATTTCTTTTCTATTTATCTCTACCTCTTCTGTGATATATAGAAGCCTTCGTTCAAACAGGTGCTATACACTTTTCAATCTTTCCCTCCCACCTCCACCTACCTGCAGCCATCACCCCCATCAGATTTACAGGTTAAGCCTTTAAACTTTCATGCATCCAGCCACAGCAGAGATGCAGTGTGACCATCACACAACAGTTTCTTTCATAACACTGCTAGCAAAATGTATGCTTTGGCAGTGGGGATCATAAGTTTAATTCAGATATCATGATTGTTAATCTCCCTTCAAACCACAAGAAGGTGGTCAGTCTTCAGAGAGCTTATATCAAGGAGAAGCAGACAGAGGAGATCCCAAGGCCTGTAAAGAGAGTTGAGGAGGAGACAGGGAAGAATTTAGAGAGACTTTGCTCAGTAAGGTAGGGCACATTTCTGGATTAATGGTCATAGGAAAGGCTTAGCAGTAGGGATATCTCATATCTGTTCTCCTCCTTCTTGCCAGATGTATTTCCTCAAGGCTTCCAAATGCATTACAGTTGCACAGAAAGCTTGACCAACATATTCATCATCATTGATCAAACTGACTTTGAGGGTGTCCTTCAGGTGCTTCTGACAGTGATTTGAAACAAGTGCCACTTCCTGGCTGTCTTGTGTTTTTTATGGCTCCTGGTGAACATCAATAATATGAATTTCATTTTAATTCTTCTGTAAGGGATCTTATTTATAGAGCAATTTCTTGTGCAGTGTCTTGTCTCTATGAAATGATTACCAACTCAGGCAGCCGTTAAAGTTTACAGCTTAGGCCTTCCTTCAAGGTACAATATGGATATTACTTTCTAAAAGTAATTTAGACTACAAAGCACTAAGAACATGTTAACTCCTTGCAAGCTGCACATCCCGTATTGGAATGTTGGATGATTTTATGAACTGATCTAATTTAATTCAACAGTCCAACCACTTTTCGATTCTCCTCCCTCTTCAAACATATGGCTAAAAATTAACTCTGATCATTAAAATAGTGTCAAGTTCTATTTAGCATCAACATTTTTGTAACTTGAACTATGATATGTTTTGCCAGTATGTTCCAAACCTACAATTCGGTGTTCGTGCACAAAGTTATGCTTTTCTGTCCTATTGATGGAATATTTTGCATTTGCCAGTGTTTTGCTGGAGCAGAGAAAGTTCAGAATAAAAGGAAAGTTAGTTATGCAGGCAAGTAAATTAAATTGAGGAAATCTTGCTGATGCTATCATGTGAATGTACATTTGCCCCTGATTGCAGCATGCATTGATGGTTGGGGCTGGGAGGAAAGCAAGGAAAGTAAGCCTTAGAACTTTTCTTGGCAAACCTCTTATAAAATACAGGAATGCATTTAAAGGATGTTACCTCATGGAGAAGCAGACTAATGTTCTCAAGAACAAATTAAGAGTATGGTACAGGCTTGGGAACAAGGTCCAACTTTAGCATGTTTGCACATAATCTGTTCACAGACAATAACGGAGGGCTGATGTTTGTGTTTCAGTAGGAAAAAATGCTATCTATATAAAATCTAGAAACTCTGCATGCTGCTTTCCTAGTGTGTCTACTTCAAAGCTTTTTACCTAAACAAGTGAAGGATTCTTTTTTTCTCATTTTCCTCGTGTTTCCTTACATCTTTATGTATGCTTTGCAAAGTAGTCAGTGGGTAATGGATACAGATCCTGAGCTTTCAAGATTCTTGAGTAGTGGGTTATAATCTGCCCTGTATCTGTTATAGACCTCCAGGTAAATTACTTTCATTTTAAGTCCCCTATGTGCTCCTGGCATGGTATAAAGGAAGATGTGTAAACAGTTTCTTGAAAAACTAACATGCTTGAGGGAAACTTCTGACCAACTGTATAAAACAGTTTTCAAAAAACGAAAGCCTCTCAAAGCCAGTGGGTTTTTTTAAGTCACAAATAGTTCTAATAACACAGTGTC